CATCGGGCTCCAGCTACCAGCCCTGGACATCTTTGCATCTCACTTTTTAAGGAAGTTGCACAACATTCTCAGAGACTCTTCCCATCCTGCTCACAATCTTTGTGAACTGTTGCCTTCTGGCAGAAGATACAGAACAATTAAAACTCGGGCCACACGTTTTCTGAATAGTTTTTATCCCAGACCTATAATTGCACTTCACAATGAACTTAAGGACCACCATCAGTGAGCTGTTGGACAGGATTACTTGGTCTGTTGGGTGGATACTTCTGTGTTTTTAGGGGGCGGGGAATTTTGGTGGGTGGGGAGATGTTTGAGGATTGCCATGTGTGTGTCCATGTTGAGTCTGGTCTCTGGGTGTTATGTGAATTTCGTTTATGTGTATACTGTGTATATACGTACAATGACAATAAAGAATTCAATTCAATTCATTGCTAGGATTTTACAACTTCACAAAAGCCAAACAGTGTCAGGGTCATACAAACCCAGGGGTGGGGAGAAACACAATATGAATAAAACAATATTTCAGATGAAATAATTTCAACAAGAATACTTGGGCGACTCTGCACCTTCTGAAATCATGCTAAGATTTCTTTAACCATAGTCTCTGGCCCAATGATGACTTTGCAAGTGGTTTCTAATTGGAAGAGTTACCATACAGGGGGCCCTTGAGTGACAACCCTTCGCTTAGAGACCATTCCAAGTTACAATGGCACTGAATAAAGGGACCTACGACTGTTTTTCACATAACCGCAGCATCTCTCTGGTCACATGATCAAAATTTGGACGCTTGATTCATCTTTATGATCGTTGCAGTGTCCCCTGGTCACGTGATCCCCTTTTAGGACCTTCTGACAAGCAAAGTCAGTGGGGAAGCCAGATTCACTTAACAACCGTGTTACTAACTTTACAACTGCAGTAATTCATGTAATAACTATGGCGAGAAAGGTTGTAAAATGGGGCATAACTTGTTCAACAACTGTCCTTTTTGTGCTCAATTGTGTTTGTAAGTCGAGGAGTACCTGTACACCAAACAAAACACATTATGGTTTTGTGCTATGCTAAAATTCAGCACCGTTTGGTAGGCACAGCGCTTTCGGTTGGCTTAATCATGGTTTGCTGTGCAATCAACAGAAACAACAGTAAACCATAAGTTGTCATTTACAACCCACGTGACTTAGAGCAACCAAGTCACATTATGGATTCAGCATCACTTGCAAATCCAGCCACAGATGGCTTTGCATATCATTATAACTTATACATTATCATTTACTAATCCTTGCTGTCCCTGGGTTCATATCTCAAGCCCTGTCAGAAGTCAGCAAGAAACGGATTTCAGAAGTTTCCCTTTTAAAAAAAAATAAGGATGGTTTGTGATCATCTGCAAAACTGGAAAACTGAAAGAGAAATTAATTTGCAGAATAACTTTTTTCTCCTCTTCTGCCAATCAGCAGATGTGGGTAACTAAGAAAAAACAGGATGGCACACGCTTTGTAAAGTTATTCTCTCTGTCTCTCCATAGTACAGGTGGTCCTCAACGCATGACCCCAATTGGGACCAGTGTCTCCATAGTTAAATGAGTCAAGTGAGTTGGTTAAGTGAGTCGCACCTGATTTTATGACTTTTGCAATGGTTGTTAAGTGAATCACTACAGTACAGAACTGAATAATCTGGGTTTTCTACTCGTTGCTAATGAACAATAACATATTGTTTTATTTATTTGCATCCCTTTATTACTTTTACTAATAGCTCAAGGCAGTGAACTTATACAACACACTTTCCTCCTCCTATTTTCCCCACAACAACAACCTGGGAGGTGGGTTGGGCTGAGAAAGAGGGACTGGCCGAAGTCACCCAGACAACTTTCATGCCTAAGGCGGGACTAGAACTCACCATCTCCCACTTTCTGGCCTGGTGCCTTACCCACTAAAGTGGCTCTAATATTGGCTTTCAATCTTTCCAAGAATCTAATCCTGTGCACCAATATCCAAAGATATGCCCATGAATTAACTTCTCATTCGTCATCTGTTTCAGGATCTAGTAAGAGTAGAAGCTCTGGGAGAGGCATGGCCTTCATGTCATGATTAGGGGGGTGGAGGTCAAAACATGAAGAGCAGTTACAGCAACTGGGTATGTCCAGTCTGATGAAAAGAAGGACGAGAGGAGACATGACAGCAGTGCTCCAATATTTGAGAGGCTGCCACAAAAAAGAGGGGGTCAACCTATTTTTCAAAACACCGGAAGGCAAGACACAAAGCAACGGATGGAAACTAACCAAGGAGAGAAGCAGGAACTTCCTGACAGTGAGAACCGGTGGAATTAACCAGTGGAACGGTTTGCCTTCAGAAGTTATGGCTCTTCTATCACTGGAGGCTTTTACGAAGAGACTGGACAGCCACTTATCTGCAATGGTCTAGGATCTCCTGCTTGAGGAGGGGGTTGGACTAGAAGACCTCCAAGGTCCTTTCCAACTCTGTTATTCTGTTAGGTTGCTTGCTCTGAATTAACTCAAAGGAAGGTTCTCCTCTTTGTTACACCCTGCTAGGGATTGCACAAGCCATTAGATGAGATTCAAATACGGATCGATAGTTTGTGCTTCAAAGGTTAGTGGAAAGCCACCTGGGAATATTATGTAAACCAGCGCATCCCATTAATCCATTTTCTTGTCTATTTTTTTGGACGTAGTATATTATGCCATTGTGTTTTGTTAACCTAAACTTATGAGTTAAGTATCTTGTGTGAACTTGATTGTTATGGTTTTTAAAATATGATTTAATTATTATTGTGTTGTCCATATCCAAAGCCAATCACCCTTCAATAAACTAAGGCAAACATGATTGTGTAATGTGAGCACGAGAGGCGTGTATGATCTGAATTCATTTGACTCACTAAATCATAATAGTCCCTTTGGAGCACAGAGGCGACACACAGAGACACAACAGGCAAACCCTTTCTTGGACGAACAGCAACTCCTGCAAAAGGGGAGCATAATGCGCAATTCCGGGTCAGACTCAGAAAGTCATGGGAACTCAACCAACTGTGGCTTGTGCATTAAAGATGAATTAAATAACCAAGATTTATTGGACATGCACATTGTTTTCTACATGATCATTTTTCTAGAGGGATAAGACATTCTTTCTTATAATCAAACAGAAAGGTAGAGAAAACCTATTTTTAATTAAACGCATGCCTGCTTCGAAAAAGACGGTGTCTGAAAATAATTTGCTTTGGATAACATGGCAAAGATGACCTGCAGAGATCCTGGCCCTTTCCAGTAATGAGATTCCCAGTGTCTTCTTAAGCACAACAAGCGTTTACTTAGGCTGCAAGTTCTCAGCATTTACATGAGAGTAAGTTCTGCTGAACACAACAGGAACTATTCTGCCTAAACATGCAAATGTTTTGTGTGATTAAAATATTTGCATTCTGGTTTTCAAGTCTCTACTAGGACAAACCCATGTCCTGAGATGATTCTGAATCTTTACATAAGCAAAAGCAATAATAATTCATTACTGTCAATGATAAACAACCAAAATATTTTTTTTAAACTGTAACATTGGCATAGATTAAATAATAAAGATTTGTCTACGTCGAGTTCAACTCGTGTAGAAACAGCGATACCTTTCTCTTAGTGGTTTTCCACAGTTTCCCACATTCCCATGGCCCCAAAATTCCCAAGTGGCCCCTACCCAAATTCTAACTCACGCTGATCCTGCCTACTGTTTGATATTCACAAATTAAAACCATTTTTAATTAGTATTTAAAAACTAATGGAACTTCTGGCTTCCTTGTAATATAAAGTGCCAGAAATTATGCACCACATGCAAGATAATTGCTTGTGGTGGCTGATCATGAGGACAGGGGGTTGGGGGAGGGAATAGATCAAAACGTATCCAGAAAGGCCAAGTTAGCGAAAAATGCACTGGACCAGCAGGCTTCCAAACTTGGTAACTTTAAGACTCGTGGACTTCAATTCCCAGAATTCCCTAGCCAGCATGTTGCTGAGGTTTAGAAACACCGGCCTGGATTGTAGAAAGACACTTCCTTGGAGCTCAGAGGTGCCATGCAGAGGAGAGGCCTCCCCCACCCCCACCGTAATACAGGTGGTCCTTGAGTTAGGACCACAATTAAGCCCAACATTTCTGTTGCTAAGTGAGACATTGGTTAAGTGAATTTTGCCCCATTTTACGACCTTTCTTGCCACAGTTGTTAAGTGAATCGTTGCAGTTGTTAGTAACATGGTTGTTAAGCGAATCTGGCTTCCCTACTGACTTTGCTTGTCAGAGATCACAAAATCATATGACCCCGTATGACCCTGCAACTGTCGTAACTAAGAACCAGTTGCCAAGCATCCAAATTCGGACCACGGGGATGCTGCAAGAGTTGTAAGTGTTGAAAACGGTCCTAAGTGACCTTGTTCAGTGCCTTGTAACTTGGAATGGTCACTAAATGAACTGCTGTAAGTCGAGGACTACTACCTGGACTGTACACATAATACTCCCCACTCGCAACAGCACAATTCTAACCATTCCACAATGCCACGATTCTAAACAAAGCCCAAGCGACTCTCTGCCCCTCGGAAGAAAAAGGCCACCTGCAGACGACCCAGTCGAGTTCCAGGCTGGTGCCCTTCCGAGGGTCTCGGCTGCCAGCAGAAGCCAACCGAAGCGGGCGAGTGGCAGCCCGGGCTTTCAGCCAGGACCAAGCCCGGGTCGACGAGGCTCCTGCCGTCCCTTCGGAGCACAGAGGCCACGCGCAGAGGCCCGACAGGCAACCCTTCGCTGGCCGAGCAGCAACTCCGCTTCCAAAGCAACTTGCAAAAGGGAAGCGGCGACCGAGCCAGCCAGCCCCGCGCCTTTTCCCACGGACGCCAAGTTGGGAAGGGAGCCCAACTGGCCGCTTTCCCTGACCCAAGGACGCCCCGCTTCCCCAGCCGACTGAGCGAGCCGAGTCCCCTCGCCGCCCCCGCCCCGGCCAGCTCCAGCCCGGCTCCCTCCGGTTACCTGCTCGGCGAAGCGCGGTGCGGGCGCAGCTCCTCCGCCGCGCGCCGTCCGGCAAGGCGGCTTTCGGGCAAGCCAGGCGCCGGCTGGTCCCTCGCTGCGGGGCGGGCAGGCGGCTCGAGCGGCGCCCCAGTTGCGGCCGCCCGGTTTCCTCTCCGGCGCGCCGCGACTTTCCGGCTGGCCGAACTCCGGCGCTGCAGCAGCAGCCTGGGAACTTCTCCCCGGGCGAAGAAAGTTGCGCCTCTCTCGCTCTCCAGCCTTTGGCCGCCGCCGCCGCCGCCGCTGCTTCCCCGCTGGGTCCCTTGCGCGGCGCTGCGTGGCGCGCACCCGCATCCCCACGCCCGCCGCGCTGGTTCCGGCCCGGGGTGACGCGCGCCTGGCTGGGAGTTGCGGGAGCCCCGGGAAGGCGGGCGGGGGCGGCGGAGCAGGACGAGGAAGCGTGGCGCAATTGCTGGCGAGCGAAGGGGAGGCGGGCCGCGCGCACCTGTGAAGGGGAAGCATCGCAGATGATCCGAGTTGGAAGGGACCTTGTAGGTCATCTAGTCCAGGGGTCTCCAACCTTGGCCACTTTAAGCCTGGAGGACTTCAACTCCCAGAATTCCCCAGCCAGCAAAGGGAATTCTGGGAGTTGAAGTCCTCCAGGCTTAAAGTGGCCAAGGTTGGAGACCCCTGATTTCTAGTCCAACCCCCTGCCCAAGCAGGAGACCCTACACCCATTTCTGACAAATGGCGGTCGAGTCTCGAGTGGCGGTCCAACTTCCAAAGGCAACTTCTGTTCCACTGGTTAGTTGCTCTTTCTATCAGAAAGTTCTCACTGTTGAAGAGAAATATGGGCAAAAAAAGGAAGAATGAATTATGGAAAGTTTATAAGTGTTCCCAAGGAAGTATGATATTCAATTGAAAAGAAATGTTAAAGATGTTAAGAATTTAATGACTATTAATGATAGAATTAAATTGGAATGGAACGAGTGCTTTATTTACATATATATATATAAAATCTTTTCTTTAAGAATATAGTGTGTATTTTAAGAATGTACCAAGAAGAATTCGATGGGAAGTTATGTATTATATTGAACGTTATAATCTTAAGGTATACATTGAAGCTTAAATAAGAGTTGAATGGATAAAATTAAAAGATATAAAGGTATCATACTCCAATTAGTAACTGCAGGGGAAAATTTGTTTAATGAGAAAAGACAGTATGAAATTGAAACAGGACAGACAAAAGTATAAATATAATGATTTGAATTGAGATGAGATAATCAAAATAAAGTTGAGAAAATTAAAAGAGGGGAAAAACTATGTAGAAAATGTAAAACAGTAATAAGATATGGAATAGAACACAAAAATGAGCATGAAATTGAGTTTGTGTCTGTATGAAGAAGTGATAACCCGGGACCATGCTATTTTCAAAAAAAGATGTTTTATTTGTATTATGTTTTTTTGTGTGTGTGAAAACCCAAATAATTGTTTTTTTTTAAAAAGAAAGTTCTCACTGTTACCTCGGAGGGTGGCGAAAGGGGAGGGGGTTCCCTTGAGAGCGCAGCCAGTCGAGGAGGCCGATGCCAGGTGGTCCTGCGAGCCTTCGCCCCCCTGCCCGCCCTCTCCTCTCCTGAGCCTTAGGATCGGCGGTCTGGAGCTGCCCTCCTCGCGCAGGAGAAGAGAAGGCAGCAGGATCGCAACTCCTTTCCAATGGCTGAAGCCTTCATCGCAGTCCTAAAAACTTCAGGAAGTTCCCGACTGAGGTTGGCTCGAAACATGGTTTACCTGCTTACCTAATTAAACTCCTTTTCTGGCCTGGCTCCCTAGCCGAAAAAAGAAAAATAATTAAACAGTGTTACAAAAGTAGCCAAATTTAGCAGGGAAAGCAAACATTACACTGGATTTATGACAACTGAGCCCCAAATTTCTGTTGCTAAGCAAGATGGCTGTTAAGTGAGTTTTGTCCCATTTTACAAGCTTTCTTGCCACAGTCAGTCAGTCACTGCAGTTCTTAGTAAAAACAGTTGTTAATCTGTGAACCTGGCTTCCCCAGGTGACTTTGCTTGTCAGCTGGTTGCAAAAGGGGATCATATGACCCCAGGACACTGTGACCGTCAGAAGTATGAATCAGTTGCCAAGCATCTGAATTATTATTATTTTTTTTGGTAAAAGTTTTATTGATTTTAACAACAAACAAAAACACATGAAACATAACATAAGACATAACATAAAAACATCATCATCCTTCATAAATTTACAGACAGTGTATCGGTTGGTTCACCACTCCTTTTTGTGCATCCATTCATAGTCATCATAATAATTATATCACATAATAACTCATATTATCAATCAACAATTATATATCCTAATATCATTATTAAACAATCATTTGACTATAATTTTACTAATTCATACTTAAGCGAGATAACTATAATTTAGTTAATTTATTTTATAACAATTCATAAAATCATACCAAATCTATCTTAATAAAATATTCTAAAAATATTATCAAAACCAAGAAAAAGTGTATATTCATTATTTCCTAAATTTCTAAACATTCTATTATTATATTGTATTATCTAACCATTGATAAAAAAGATCCCAAACTTCATAAAATTGTTTATCTTCTTGTTCTCTAATTTCAAATGTCAATCTACTCATTTCAGCACATTCCAATATTTTTTTAATAATTTCTTCCTCTGCTGGTATTTTCTCACTCTTCCAATTTTTAGCAAATACAATCCTAGCCGCTGTTAATACATTTACAATCAAATACTTCAAATTTTTATTATATGTATCAGGTAAGATTCCCAATAAAAAAATCTCTGGTTTCAAATCTATATGTTTCTTTGTCATTTTTTCCAACCATATGCGGATTCTAGTCCAATATTTTCTAGCGTCCTCACAAGTCCACCACATATGGTAATATGAGCCAGGTATCTGATGACATTTCCAGCACTTTTCAGATTTATTCTTGAACATTCTTGCTATTCTTGTCGGGGGAAAATGCCACCTGTAAAACATCTTATACAAATTTTCTTTATATGCTGTTGACATTGTCATTTTATAATTTTGAGACCACAACTTTTGCCATTTCTCTAAGTCAATCCCATATCCAAAATTCTTCCCCCAAGCAATCATCGTTTCTTTAACTTGTTCATCCTCCAATTTAATTTCCAGCAAATAATTATATAATTTTTTAATCACTTTTTCATCAGTACCTGTCAAAATCCTATCTAAATCAGTCATTTTGTCATAAAATCCTTCCATTTTGGAATCTTTAAGATACCTTGAATGTATTTGCGCATATGAAAACCAATTCATCTTTATACCTTGTTCTTCTAAATTTTGCATCGTTTTAAGTTCACCCTTTTCATCTAGTAATTCCCCATATCTAACTGTTTGTTCCTTCTTATAAATTATAGGATAAGAAAAGGCTTCAATAGTTGATAACCAAACTGGAATTTTCAAATAACATTGTTTCTTAATTTTCTCCCAATTCAACCATAACGATTCCCGTATATAATGCCTTCTAAAATAACCCTGTGATTTAGTTCCCTTATACCATAGAAAAGCATGCCAACCCAATAGTAAATCATGTCCTTCTAATGCCAACAATCTAGTCTTTCTTAACGTTATTCATTCTTTAGCCCACATTAAATTTGCAGCTTGATAATACAACCCCCAATTAGGAAGGCCAAATCCTCCTCTAGTTCTAGCATCCTGTAAAAGTTTTAATTTTATTCTCGCTTTCTTACCTTGCCATATATACTTCAACACAATTTTATTTAAATCTTCAAAATAGTCTTTACCTAACCTAATTGGTATTGTTTGAAACAAATATAACATTCTAGGTAAAATATTCATCTTAATTGTTGAAATTCTACCTATCAGTGACAATTGTAAGTTTCCCCATTTTTTCAGATCAGATGCTATCTGCTGCTTAAGTTTAATATAGTTATTCTCTTTCAGTGTAGTACATCTTGACGTCAAATATATCCCCAAATATTTAACTTTATTCGTAACTTGAATTTTCAATAGGTCTGTCAGCTCTTCTCTTTGTCTTAATAACATGTTCTTTGTCAAAATCTTTGTTTTGTCTTTATTTATTTTCAAGCCAGCCATCTCACCATACATCTCTATCTTTTCGAATAATTTTAAAGCTGTCTCAAGAGGATCTTCCAGAATAAAGACCAAATCATCTGCAAAGGCTTGCAATTTGAATTCCTCCTTTTTAACTTTCATTCCTTTTATATTTGTATCCTCTCTAATATTTCTATTTAACACTTCCAAAGTCAATACAAATAACAAAGGAGATAATGGGCATCCTTGTCTTGTACCTTTTTTAATATTAATAGAGTCTGTAAGTTCTCCATCTATCATTACTTTTGCCGTTTGCTCATAATATATGGCTTCTATTGCTTGAATAAATTTTCTAGCAAAGCCCATCTGTTCCAATAATAATAGCATAAATCTCCAATTCACGTTATCAAATGCCTTTTGGGCATCTAAGAATATCAAAGCCATTTGTTTTTCAGGATGTGCCTCGTAATATTCCAATGTATCCAGGATTATCCTCATATTGTCTTTAATTTGTCTCTTTGGTAAAAATCCATTCTGATCAGGGTGAATAAAATTATTTAAATATTTTTTAAGCCTCTCTGCCAAGAGTGAGGCAAAGATTTTGTAGTCTGCATTCAATAAGGAAATAGGTCTATAGTTCTTAATTTGTAATGG